GCTCATATTTGTATCACATACTGAGGGTGACTGGGAAACGGTTAAATATGAGTTAAACTACCCAAAGTATCTCCACTCCACATGTACCTTCCATAATGTCAAAAGGAGTTAATGCATTTTCAAGTCCTCAGTTTATGATTTAGAAACAAATACTAAGTACAGTCATTTATCATAATCCCCAGCAGTTACGTTCATAAAGTTGCCATGGACACTGAATTATAAAGACAAAATATTTGAAGAAATTATTGCTAATTTCCCCACCCCCAAATTTAATAAAAACTAAATTCTCAATCCAAGAAAATCAGCAAATCTTAGGGGAAAGGAAAAAAAACAAAAAACCACAACTATGAAAAGGCACATAATAATCAAATTGCTTAAAGTTGGTAATAAAGAGAAAATCTTAAAAGCATCCAGAGTAAAAGGACACATTACATTCAAGGGAACAAAAAAGAAAAAAATGCAATGCAGAATACAGTGGAGAAATCTTTAAAGTACTGGGGAAAAAAGGCTCAATAAATTGAAATGTATTCCAGTCAAATGTTCTCTGGTCACTATGGAATTAAATTAGAAATCAGTAACCAGAAAGATATAGAAAATACCCAAATATTGTGGAACTAAATAACACACTTCTAAATAACTCATGGGTCACAGAAGAAATCTAAAAAAAAAAAAAAAAAAAATTAGAAAGTATTTTAAACTGAATGAAAATGAAAACACAATACATAACTTTGTGGAATGCAGTTAAAGTGACACTAAAAGATAAGTTTATGGCACCAAATGCCTAAATTAACAAAAAAAGAAGTTCTCGAGTTAATTACCTCAACTTCCACCTCAATGAAAATAATACAAGAACAAGTTAAAAACAGCATAAGAAGAAGAAGAAAGAAAATAATATACATCTACAAGCAATGAAATACAAAACAAAGACACAATAGAGAAAATCAGTGAAATCAAAAGCAGGTTCTCTGAGAATAGCAATAAAATGAATAGCCTTTAGCCAGATTGATCAGCAAAAAAAAGAGACATTATTTTCCAATATCAAAGTGAGGTCATACCACCACAAAGCCTAAAGATCTGAAGAGAATAATAAAATAATATTACAAATAACTTGTGCCAATAAATTAAATAAATCAAATGAAATAGACAGATTATTTGAAAGATATAAACTACAAACTCAACCAAGAAGAAGTCTATAACTTGAATAGCCCTGTATCTATTAAAGAAGTTGTATTTGTAGATAAAACTTTCTACAGACAAAACTCCGGACAAATACCTTGGCTTGTTCCTGATCTTAGAGAGGAAGCTTTCCTCTTTCACCATCACGCCTAAAGTTAGCTGTGGGTTTTCACAGATGCCTTTTGTCAGGTCGAGGACTTTCTCTTCTATTCCTAACTCGCTGAGAGGGTTGTTTGCTTTTTAAAAATTAGGAATGGGTGTTAAAGTTTTCAAGTGCTTTTTTTTGCATCTATTGAGATGATTGTATGGTTGATTTGTGTGTGTGTGTGTGTGTGTGTGTGTGTGTTTAATTTCTTAGAAATTAAAATATACTGTTGAAAATAAAAACGCAAGCCACAGCCCGGGGGAAAATGTTTGTAAACAGGTACCTGACAGGTCATGTGTATCTTTACTAGACAAAGAATGCTGATGACTCAACAATAGATGCCAAACAGCCAATTTTTTAAAAATGGGCACAGCATTTGTCCAGACACTTCACCAATGAAGATATGTGAATGGTATATAAGTACATGAAAAAATGCTCACCATCATTAGTCACTAGGGAAATATTAACTGAAACCATCATGAAATACCATCACACTCCCACTAGAATGGCTAAAATTAAAGAGACTGAGCATAGCAAGTATTCAGGAGAATGGTGAGGTCTCACACAACGGTGGGACTATAAAATGTTATAGATTACTTGGAAAGCAATGTGACGGTTTCTTAAAAATTTAACCATACAGCTACCACAGTACCCAGCACTGCACTTCTAGATATTTAATCAAGAAAATGGAAGTATATGCTCCAACAAAATACTTCTTCACAAATGTGCATAGCAGCTTTATTTGTAATAGCAAAAATTGGAAGTCGCCTAAATGACAATCAATTAGTGAGTGAATAACAGATTGTGATAGAGTTATACCATGGAATACTACTCTGCAATTAAAAAAAAAAGATGTATTGATACACATAACAACATGGCTGAAACCCAAAATAAAGATGTTCAGTGAAATTAGCCAGGTGAAAAAAGATTACATATTGTATTACTTTATTTTGATAAAATTCTTGAAAATGCAAACTAATCTATAGTAGATGGAAAGCAGGTCAGTAGTTACCTGGTGATGGGGGAAAGGCAGAGTAGGCTGAAACTGGGGACTCTAAGAGCGTGTAAAACTTTTTTGGGGGGGGAGGGGGATTGAAATAGAATTATCCTGATTGTGCTGACTGCATTCAATGGTGTTGACATACGTCAATTTTTTTAAATTTATTTTTCAATATATATATATTTTTTATTTCAGAGAGGAAAGGAGAGGGTTAGAGAGATAGAAGCATCAATGATGAGAGAGAATCATTGATCAGCTGCCTCCTGCACACCCCCTACTGGGGATCGAGCCTGTAACCTAGGCATGTGCCCTTATCGGGAACTGAACCTGGGACCCTTCAGTCTGCAGGCTGATGCTCTATCCACTGAGCCAAACTGGCGAGGGCATATGTCAATTTTTATAAAATTGTATGCTTTAAATGTGTGCTGCTTATTGTATGTCAATTATCTATAATAATAAAAGTGTAATATGCTAATTAGACCAGATGACCTTCCGGATGAAACAAGGGCTGCGAGGGAAGCCAGGTCCTGGGTGCCAGAGGGAAGCCGGGGCCAGCAGCCAGGGGAAGGAAGGCCTGCTCTTGCACGAATTTCGTGCATCGGGCCTTTACTATTTCAATAAAGCTGTTTTTAAGCATCATGATGAAATCTGTTTCTCAGCTGCCATTGGAAATTTTGCAAATGCTGCTCAGATTATCCAACTATCCATCTCCATACACTCCAGGGGTGGCTGTGTGTGAGCCATCTTTCCTCCCTCCAAAGCCTGGGGCTCTCTCCCCTCTGCAAGTTCCCAAAGCAGGCGGCTCCTCCCTGGAGCCTGGGGAACGCCCTGTGCTGAGTGCTGCAGGCCCATCGAGGCACATAAAAGCCCATGTCATCATCCACCAGTGTTTTCCTCGATGTGCTTTTGAAACTCACCATTGATTTTGGAAATTTCCCAGTCGTTCTGTAAGCTTTCGCTGCCAAGGGCAAATGTAAACTGTGGGCCCCGAAATGACTGCAGATCATCGTCCGTGGCCTGGATGATGTGGCTTCCGGGCGCGCTGAGCGGGTGGCAGAAGAACAAGCCCGTGTACTCCTTCGCCAGCCGTGGGGGGTTGTCATTCACGTCGGTCAGAGCCAGGTTGAACCCCGCTGCGGTGCTCAGGGAGGACCCACCTAGGGAATTGAGGGATTGAAACGGAATATCAGCTCTCTCATTTCCTCTTAGTAAGAAAGAATATTTCTTTCTTTTTCTTTCTTTTTTAAATTACAATTCAAGTTAGGTGACTATATTGAGATAGCAGAAAGATAGCAAACGTTTAGAATCAGACCTGGTTCAAAAGCCTTCATGATAATAATAAGACTGATGTGCTAATGTCTTATAGACATTACTTCAAACGGCTCTGATTTGTGATTACAGGTAGAAGACTGAGGCCCAAAGAAGGTGTGTGACTTGCCCAAGGTCACACGGCAAGGAAAGCTTCCAGCCCAGGAGGTCTGAGGTCAGAGCCCACACCTTCCATTGCTCCTCAACACTGACTCGGGCATGTCCGTTATATTTTCTCAGCCTGGGTTATTCGGCTGTCATGCATGTGGCTCTGAGAGGATCCCACACGCCGAGTTCTTAGAAAAGAGTGAAGGGCTGCACAGTGGTTACTCACTCTGGTAGGGGGGTGAGAAACTTGGACGCGGTAGCCTAGAGGGTTGGCGGCTATGTGATCGTGAGCAAGCTGTGTAGCTGCTCAGTGCCTTGGTTTCCTCATTCATAAAATATGGTTGTTAACAGTACCTACCCCACGGTGTTGCAGGAGGAGTAAGTCATCACACCGAGTGCTTCAAACACGGCTGTCAGTGCGACGTAAAGACTATGTTCCCGTTCTCCCTGACTTCAACAGACGCTGTTTCTATAATTTCTAGCTCCAACCCGCTTCAATTACAGTGATCCCTGTCTTCTTGCTTTTCTTTTCAAATGTTTTCTCTGTCCCTGACTACACTTGAAAAGCTACTGTGCTCTTGGGTCATTTCATTGATTATTTCAGGGATGCCAACTGCAAATTGGAGCAGGGTTGTGAACCTGGTTTTGATTCATTGATCTGCTCAATGCGCAAGGCCTTTAGGACACATGCAGAGTGAAGTGAAACATCAAGATGAGAGAGAGAAACATCTCAGAGAGAGAGAAACATCAATGAGGAGAGAGAATCATCGATTGGCTGCCTCCTGCACACCCCCCACTGGGGGTCAAGCCCACAACCCAGGCATGTGCCCTTGACCGGAATTGAACCTGGGACCCTTCCGTCCTGAGGCTGATGCTCTGAACCAAACCAGCCAGGGAGGGCTCCCTTCACTTCTGTATCCTTCTTGTTCTTCCACTCTAAGCTATTCTGACAATCTGACCCACTCACTTTCCCTCCCTCTTATTTCTATTGGTGTGTCCCCTATTAATTTGTTACTTTCTTTTCTTTTTCTTTTTTTTTTTTTTTGCTCACCTACTTCAGTGGCCACCACTTGTACGCGATACAGACTTTCAGCTTCCCTGTCCAGTGGAGCCGCACTGAAGATCTCGCCAGTGGCAGGGTCAATTCTCAGCCAGCCTCTTGTGTCGCCTCTCAGGGAATAACTTCGTAAAGTGAAAAGAGCAACAGAAGGCCCATGTTACTGTATGTGGAAACGGGAGGATAGTTTATGCCAGCCATGGGCACTACGGGCCCCAGCCGGGGGCAAACTACGGCGCGCGGGCTGGATCCGGCCCGTTTGAAATGAATAAAACTAAAAATAAAAAAGACCGTACCCTTTTATGTAATGATGTTTACTTTGAATTTATATTAGTTCACACAAACACTCCATCCATGCTTTTGTCCCAGCCCTCTGGTCCAGTTTAAGAACCCATTGTGGCCCTCGAGTCAAAAAGTTTGCCCACCCCTGGTTTATGCATCGCTATGCTGTTATGTCAACATTATCCCTTTGCATATTATTTATGGCATATTTTAAAGATCATTATGTAATACTATTAATGCTTTATTTGCATCTCTTCTCTCTTCAAAACGGGGATTTGCTCATCTTTACAAAGTGGTAGTTGTACTTGTTTCATTAGAAAATGGATAGCCACAAACTCAGAGGGACAGGTAAACTTTTCTGGCAATCAAAGAATTCTAATGAAAACAACCTGGAAACATCTTTTAAAATGGATTAGTAAACCACCCTTCTAAGGAAACGTGAGCAGCCAGTGGTGGAGATGTTGTGTGAATGGGTGGACACTCAGAGGCCACTGGTGGCCCCGTGAACTCTCATTCAACAGACATCTACTGAGTGTTTAGCAAACATTAGGCAGACGGGAGATTACAAAAAGGGGCTCTCCAGCCAGCGGAGGAGACAGACACAGAGATACATAACTCCCACGGAAAGTGGTAAAGACAGTGAAGGGGGCCCTATGGCGCCCCAGAGAAGTTCATGGGAATCGGACAGCCTTTCTGAAGGAGTAGATGCTAGCTGGGGCAGGAAAAGGAGCTGCGAGAAGGGACTGCACGTGCTGTCGCCTGGAGGCCAAGGAATAGCTTGCCGTGTGGGAGAGTCAGACGCTCCAGCAGTGTCAGGGTAAAGATGGGAAGCCGTGGGTGGAAACGACAAAGCCAGAGAGCCTGGAACGAGCCAGATCGTGGGAAGCAGGGGGCATCCTTGTGGGAGTACAATGCAGGCCTTGCCAAACCCACAGAATGGCTGTTAGTCCAGTGGCACTCACTGGTGGGTGTGTCAGATGAATGTGAGAGACAAGACTAGAAGCACAGGAGAAACAATTGGTACAGCCCTCTGTGGAGCAACACATCATAGCCACAGGCTGTTCGTTTCTTTAGACCAAAGCGTTTCACCTCTGGAAATTTTCCCTCAACAAAAACAATTTAATAGAAGGCATAAAAGAATTACATGCATACAAACATGCAAAACATTTTATAGAATAAAAAAATACTGAACACAACCTACATGCTCAAGAAAAGGTAATGATTAAAAAGTTATGATGTGTTAGTTCAGCAAATTATTTTTTTCAGTTTTAGTATATTCTATATGCCAAGCACTGTGTTGGGCTGTGTATGCTGGTGATGTACAAGAAACCCTATGTAACCAGGATTTCATCCCTGAGTGAGATGGGAACCCTTTGGAGGGCTCTCAGAGGAGTCATGTGATCTGATTTCCGTTTTTAAAGGAGTATTCTGATTGTAGTAAATAGACTGAGTGTGGGGCAGGGATGAATCCAGAAAAGAGACGATGGTGGCCTGAGCCATGGCAAAGTGATGAGAAGCACTTGCATCCTGGATGTATTTCAATGAAAATTTTCCTAATCTTTATCTCTAATCTCTAATCTCTAATCTCCAATCGTGGATTGGATTAGGATCTAAGGGGTGTTGATGGTTTATAAGTTTATGGAGCTGAGAGAAAGAGAAGAATTAACTTATTCAGGCCAACATCTTCGGAGTCATCTTAATTCTGAACTGACTTATCACTAACCTCTGAACTGCTCATTGTTCTTTATTCTTAAAACGCTTTTCTCATTTGTCCTCCAAGACTGTTTCTTACAGGACGCTGTCCTTCTCAGTCTTCTTCCTCATCTTTCTAATCTCATTTAATAGTATGTACGTTCTATCTTTTCCTTGAGCTATCTGGGAGTTTTTTTAAATGCCTTTGTTTTCCCCACTCATAAATTCAAATTTTATTCTCTTGTCTTTGACTCTTACACAAACCCTGGCCGCGGGGCCGGTTCAGACACAGGATCTGGCTTTGGGTAGCCCCGTCTCTGGACCCCATCTCCTGAACTCACCAGCTCTCAGTGGGACCTGCAGTGAGTGGGCCGGATGCAACCTGACATGCTCCCCCCTTGTCTGAGCCTGGATTTCCCCCACTCCCCACGCGGGGTACTGACCCCTGCAGGAACCAAGGTCAAGTTCACCATATGCACTGGAGATGGCTTCAAATCGCTGGCTGCTCCCTTAGGAGAGAGCCTTGGAGCCAGGCCAGGTCCTCTGTGCCCCCCATCTGCACCTCCACCCCCAGCCCTTCCTCCCTCCCACTGGCCTTGGTCTCAACACAGCTAGGCTTGCCCAGCCTGCTCTCTACCTTATGTCCAGACCTTCCGGGTCCTTGGCAGTCATGTTGCCCACTTTGGTGCCTATGGCCACGTCTTCGCTGACTTTTGCTTGGAATATGTGCTGGGGAAATTGAGGGGCTTCGTTCACATTTGTCACAAAAAGGGTGAACGTGGCGAACGAGCTGGCATTGTACTGAACACCGGACACCAGAGGCTCCGGATTTTCCGCTTGGAACACGATGTTGTGAATGGCTGTTGTTTCAAAATCAAGAGGCTGTGTGGGGGGAAACAGAGAAAATTAACTTGGGAGGACTCGTTCCCTATAAGATTCACTCCCTGTTCTCCTTTAAACACTCACTGAGCAGCGGTTCATTGAGCCAGTGCCAGCAAACACCTACTTCTCACAATGATAATGGAGCCATGAAAGAGTCTGTGCTGCAGCATTTATCGAGCTCTTAAGGCGCTAATATGCACGCAGACGCTCCTAGAAGAGCCAATCCATGCAGCACTCCTCCAGTTTATCTAACCCTGGGACAGTGCATTCACTCATTCAGCAGAAACCTATCGATTCTCTCAAGCGTGGAAAATGCTTAGAGATGTCCCCACTATATGGAGAGCTATTTTAGAGGAACCTTGGGATCCAAATCCCCAAGTAAAAGTCCTTAAACTCATGGAGAGAGAGAGAGGTTAGAGAAATGATCGAAAGATAGATGACCTGCTCTTGTTCCAGATCATTCCAGACAGAGCCAGAAATGAAAAATTCTATGGGAAAAACTGCCAATCCTAAAGAGTGGAACCACCCCTAAAGTTGGACTTCTTAACTGGGGTTAAAGGGCTTCTGGCGATCTGTGAACCCCTAGAAGCCAAAATCTAAATATTATATGTATGTGCAGATGAGAATTTTTTTCTAATGATGGTTATGTAGTTTCATGAGAGTCTCAGTGGTACCCAGGACCTCAAAAAGATGAAGGACCTGAAGCAGAGCCCCAAAGGTACATTCTAGATTATGGGAACCGCACTATTTTGTTCATTCTTCCATGCCTACAGCACCCAGGACTCCTTGGTGAGCTGTCAGTCCTTTAACTGTTTATTTTTATTCATATCATTGATTAAACAAAACGTTAATATCCATTTGTGAAGAGAAAAACTCATGGAGGTTTGACACATGATTATATTAGCTCAGCCTGCCCTTCCTTAATATCTGAAAAAAACTCTCCCCCTGAGTCAGAAGTTGGCTCAGTGCTGTCCTCTCCAGATTGGCTTCCCTGGACCAGTTAGAGAGATGGCAATGCCCCTTAAACCTTATTGAATGGAAGAACAAAGGAAAAACAGAGCAGCCTGTCATCCATCAACCTGCTTAACTTTCACACCAGGAAAAACACTGAGCCAAATCCTCCAGGGAAAACATTAGCAATGAAAGATACCAAACTAGCTAATGGCAATCAGCAGAGCTTAATCAAGGGCAAGTCTGTCCAACCATGTGTATCATCTTGCATAATGCAGGGATATGCTGCAAAGCCAAGTCCAGAGACCCATCACGGCCTCTTGGGGTGGCATCACATCCATCTAGGAGACACAGTCATCAAAGGAGCTGAAAGAATAGCTCAGGCCCGCAGTTCCTCTTCTGCACACCAGGGTTTGAAAGGCCAAACCTTGAGACTTAGACTCAACCTGAAGACAGAGATAAAAGCGCTGAGGGAGCGGAGTTGCAACGGGGAATATTTAACATGAGAAAAAAACTGTGCATTCGTTTTCCAGATGACACTTGGGCTGGCTGAAAAACAGGTCCTGTACCCAGGATTCCAAATGACCAGCTATCATGGAGACGAGACAAAATTTGCATTTTAAAAAATTAAAGCTAAAACGAAACCCTGAATTTCCAGAAATGGAGTCCCCCAGGAGAGATGTTGATGAGCTGGCAGGCCTCAAAGAAATAGCCTTCCTGCTCCTGACACCCCCTTGGCCTTGAGAGTGTCACGATCTACCACACGACAGGCTGGAGCTTCGGGTGGCAGTCAAACTGAGTAGGACAGCATTTCTACAAAACTTGTTTAATCCTAAGCATCACGTGGGGCAAATAAAATAATAGAAAATACATGTATTGGTCTTTGCCCCCAGTTCCTGGCACAGAAGCGCCTAAAGTCCTTGTAATTTCCTAGGTGATAAGAGCACAAAGAGCATCTTTTGTTCTGATATTTGGCCTTTGACCCCAGTTCTTGAGACTGAGCGCCTAACCCCGAGCAATAGAAATGTCTTTTGTGCTAATGAGGCAACTCTTGGTGAACTCCTGGGTGGGGGCTGGTCACCAGAAAGACCAAGGCATGATTAGAAGCTTGGAACGTTCCGCCCCACCCTACCATCCCCTCCAGGGAAGGGAAGGGAAGCTAGAGATTGAGTTCAGAGTCACTCCTGTCTACATGAGGAAGTGCTTCTGGGTTGGCGAACACATCCATGTGTGGGGAGAGCGGTGCACCCCGACTCCCCAGGGACCGAAGCTCCTGCACTCAGGACCATTGCAGTCTGGTCCTTTGTAGCTCTTCATCTCGCTGTTTGCCTGTATCCTTTACCATATCTTTTAACACATAATAAACTAGCAAATGTTAGTGTTTCTCTGAGCTGTTCTAGCAAATGATGGAACCCGAAAGGAAGGGGTGGGTGGAAAAGGGGTACACATATACTAAAAATTGTTTATCGTGAGTTTTATGTATTTTATATGACAATCCTCCCTCCCCCAACAAAGCTCACTTGGTCAGCTAATGACAGAATGACAGACCCAGAACTAGGTTCCTTCCTTTTGCCTTCTGGGAGGACAGGAATGACTGAGATTATTCCAGCGTCCTTCGCCTGCCTGAGAGGTCTCTGCTCATACATCACCTCTGCTTATAGGTCCTTGCATAGTCATAGGGAAATTAACCAAAGAAAAAAAGGCAAATTCCATTAAAGAGTCATGTACCTTTTTAATTATGACATATCCAGTGTTTTTTTGGGGATCGGTGTCAACCCCCAGTCGCCCCTCATCATCTCCCTGTGTAATTCGATACAGGATTTTAGAACTCCCAGTAAATGGCTCATCAGCATCTGTGGCCTGGATGGTCAAGATGGTGGACCCAACAGCTGTGTCTTCGGCAAGAGTTAGGTTTCCGTACTAAGAAGGAAACATTAAGAATGTGCATTGTCATCAAGAATAATTAGCTGTCAAAGGGCTATTGTCTCTTTAGCTTCAGAATGGACACAAGTCATAATTTGCATCAATATTCACCACGCATGTTTTTCCTATGGCTAAATATGTTGTAGTTGATTTTGACATCAATCATACTCATAGACTGATATTCATTGTACCAAGAAACACAACATCTCAGAGAGCTACTGGTAGGATTCTCAAACAGAGTCCCACTCCCACATCCAATACATTTACTAACCTTACTTATTATATTAGTGAGGACAAAAATAAATACTCTATATTGAGTACTTATCGTGCAGCAGGTACTTTTACATACGTTATTTTAATTAGTCCACAATCAACCAAGGAGTAGTGGTTAAGAGTCTGAACTTCGGAGTCAAATAGTATAAATCCTAGGCTTGCCCCTTACTAGCAGGGTGACTTGAAGCAAGTTATCTAACGTATTTATGTCTCGGTTTCATCATCTGCCTAATGGAAATAATAATAATAGAACTACTCCATGTTTGATGTGAAGATGAAGCAATAACGCATGGAAAGTCCCTGGCGCCTGGTACACAGTCAGGACT